TTGTTTTAAGCATGCCTGATAGAATTTTCCTACTGACAACTGTGTGTTCGTACGTTTGTTTTATTTTTAAACATAAATCATTGTTACACCCTGTAGTACGTAGGTATACATAAATTTTTTACAGTTTCAAAATCTAGAATGATCGGTATGACATTCGATAAAAATAAAACGAAAAATATTTTTATTCCGTGGAATGAATTGTGTGTATTAGGCAACTTTATTTTGGTTCGCTGCACGTTGTCAACCGGCGCGATTAAGTGCGAATATCGGCGTCTCAGCTTTGGATAGGTGCCATTTTGTGGACACTTGAAGAATCCGGTTGGAGAAAATACGAACTGTGCAACGCAGTCTGAGAGAAACTACGTTCAAAGAGACACGTTTCAAATAAATATATAGATATTGATATCATTTTGAAGTACTATTGTTATCATCCTAGATTATAAAAGAATCGATGTACAGAATGTCCCACGATAACTTTAGACCTTCAGAGTATCTAAACAACCAAAATCAGAAAGGAGGAGTTATTACAAAATGTCAACAACACATCTTGACTGGCTCACTGTCCCATTTTTTTAGATATTGTAATGTTGGGTGGAGTTTTATGAAACATTGTTTTAATATTAATTACAGAAACAAAAAAATGTTTAAATGTGTCAGATATAGACTTAAAATCATTTTATCAGCTTACAAAAAGTGACGATTTTATAAACAAATAGTATATGGGTCGGCTGAAGAGGATGTTAATTGCAACTAAAACGACCTAAGGTAAAGGGGTTTTAATTATACTTATAGGCCCCTAGTGCTGGCCTAAGAGAGAAGGGGGAGGCGCACCTTAGCACCGGCGAAGGGCGGCAGATTTCGGAGGTGCCACCACGCTGACTATATAATAGTCCCGTTTTGTATTTAAAAGTACCGAGCGGCATGACCTAAACCCTAAAGGTTTAGACCATTGCTTATCATTTTGAGAGTTCGCCTAGTTCGAGTCCGGGTCCAGCTGCCTTTGTCCAAGTTTTTCTGTGGTTTCCTTGGATCACTTAAGCAAATGCTGGGCTGTAATATTCCACAGATAATCTTTCATTCTCTTCTGTCTTCATTCCGTCTTATCTTACTAACCGAACTACCACCCATCCATTCCACGATTCTTGAAAGGAGACTGAAGAAGGTTTTCCGCCCTACCTTCCGGCGTGGTACGGTGGGACTGTCTGCCAACCAGCATTAATAGCTGGTGGGAATGAAATAAGAATAATAAGAATGGCATGTTTTTCATGACAAAACCAAGTGGCAGCTAAAGGTGAAAGCCTAATAACGACAGTCGTTTTTTTTTTTAAAGAAAAATAGATACTTATGTGACAAGATAGGATAGGATAGGATAGGTATTGCGTTCAAATACAATATGGAAATTTTAAATAGGAAAAATGCAGTATAATTCTAAGTATGTATATCATTCACAATATTGTTGGTGGGTGGTTTGTGAAGCATTGTTTAATATTTTAAAAGACAATAAAAGTACATTTAAATGTTCTAAAAAGTAGAATTAATTGTTTTGGTGTAATTATACCTTTATCAAGAATAACAGTAGATTACTAAAATTAAAAGTGTCTATAGTTTATTTATAGGGCCATAAATTAGTAAATACATATATGAAAAAAAAGGTTAGAAGCGTTCGAAATTTCGTGTTACAGACAAATGTTGTGGATACCGTGGATATTAGAGGCAGAAACAGGAGTTAAGAGTAGAGGTAGACATAGATTAGATTACTGTTCGTAAATAGTTAAGGATGTGTGTTGTTCGAATTTTGAAGAAATGTGAAGATTAGCTCAGGATAAGAAAAAGTGGAGGTGCGAGTCCAACCAATTTCAAGACTGACGAACTTATGATGATGATATGGAAATATCTATAATACGTCTTTGTAAGGATTTAGAGTAGTCTAGCACCTAAAATAGGTGTATCCATAAAGTTTTGTTGTTCATTAACCCAATTATTTCCGTTACATGTGGACTTTTTAATTTCGAAATATTCCATACCATATCTATTTTGTAAAACATGTAAATGAATTTTCATTGTCTTTAAAAAAAGAAATAACCCTAAGTATATTTAAACAATATGATCAAAGGGTCGTCAATCCCAAGCCGCTCATTCCTTACCTTAGTTGATACTCGCATTTTCCTAAAATTATTTGTAACCAGTATATCTAATCTAAATCTACCACCACTTCTCTTAACTCCTGTTTTTTCTTTTAAGTTAAGCATAATCAGTAAAAACATCTTTTATATTCTAAATGGTGACCAACAAAATTCAAATTATTCCAAGAGATCGAAAACGCCCTTCTACCTGCCTAAAACGATTGTTGTTATAATAAACATTCAACATTATAATATTTTGAAAGCTTAAATGCTACCCTTAAATGGGCGCCGCTTTAAATTTTCCGAAGGGCGCTAAGGGGGTAACTGATACTGCAACCAGCTGTGTGTCTCAAAATTCCTCTCATTCATAAAAACAAAAAAAAAGGGTTCTGTTTATAGAACTGTTGCGAAAAGAATAGAAAGAATATGTTTACTTCCGCTTGCCAACAGACAACTGGATACTGGAAAAAGTATCTGTCTCTTCAGAAGACTACCCACTACCACATCTAACTAGTGTGAAACCACTCCATCGCTCCGTTCGGGCTACAGGCTACAGAAATTCAGTCCTATTGCTTTTTCATCCTACCTTGTAAGTAGATGCTACAAGTTTGGAATGCATTGGTGTAGAATATAGCAAAAAATTTGCTTGCAAATTAACCCACAGAGTTAATGAATCAGCATTAAATTCAAAATCACAAGTATATCAATGAAGGAATGAAAAATAGAGAAGTTGAAGGGTCAAATTAGAATAACGCATTCTAATGTTATGCATTACGCAAGAGAAATTTATGTCACTTGATTAAAATTTGATATGATTACATTGGATGTAGCCTCGTCAGTAGTGTGCTATTTTGAGTAACACCTACAAGTTACCCGTAGCCGCAGGGTCAAAGTAATAAAACGTTTTAACTAGATATTTATTATTATCTGACCCACACTTTGACAACAAAAATTTGAAAAATGAGTGGTCATTTGGACTGTGGCGTTATTATTTCAGTTTTGAAATTGCAAGGGAGTTTCAGCGATATACATTGTACGTGAGGGCAAAGTTAGTGGTGTGTTTGCACGAAGGTACTGACGGGCCTCCAGTGTCCATGATGGACTACCTTTAACCACGCGAGATTCGTGAAAGTACGATCGCACAATAAAGTATGGGATTCAGTAAATTCGACCACCTCCGTTTTCAACGGCATGTAACCAGATTCTGATCTCATTTAATACCTACCTGTTATCATTTTTTATAGAAATTTTTGTATATATGATTTATTATAAATGTGTATAATAAATTTATTTACGGTGACAGTAAAACCGTAAACACTACAGAAAACAGTAAAAAGATGAAAAAAATTACATAAGGTAAAATGTAATGTAAGAAAGGAAGGGCGGAAAATAGAAGGATTTATGGGACAAACAGAAAGAAAAGTTGAATAAATAATGGTTGGTGGTACTTCAAAGTTAATTATGTTATTCTCCAGTAACCTCTCCTTAATTTCATTGTATAAAAATTAAAGTCTGACGAGGGTTGTAAGCTTTTTTATTATTAATTGTGAATTATATGAAGAAATGTATGAAAGAAAATAAGGAAAAAGTAGCGACCAGAAACATAAGAAATTATTAAGTAGAATAGGTAATGGTTAATGGTTAAATATTCAGAAGAGTAGAATGAAAAAAAAATGAAAAAGGATTGCAAAAAGAAATAAAATGGAAAATATGGATTGGAGTTAGGTGAAGGATCAAGAAAGTAGATTTGCAAGAATTCATAAGAAAAACAAATTGGGGTAGATGTCATGGAGATATGGAAAGTAAGGGATAAAATGCAGAAAGTAAAAATGGCAAATGACATAGGTACAACAAAACTTGACTGTAGAAGAAAGAAACAGAAAAAAACTACAAATCTGAGCAAAGTATAAAAAAGAGAGAGAAAAAAATCCAGGAGGATGAATGAAAGTAAGATATGGGGAAGTAATTATAGTAGAAAATCAGGGACATAATCACCTTTTTTTCTCATGAGCCAAGGGTGCTGCATCGCTGGAAGAAATATTATAATAAGAGGCGAATGGACTGCTGGAAAAGACGAGGGAAAATCCTTTGGCAATAACAAGAAGGGCATGGCAGATGGTATCTGGAAATAGATGACTAGTGAAACATAAGCGGAAAATAAGAGCGATGCATACATTAAAAAAACTAATATATGAGATACCTCCTGATTTTGTATCATGAAGGTAAAGTGTAGGAAAAAATAGCGTAATGAGTTTTTTGAAAGCAGGTAAAATCTTTTTGGTTGTATAAAGCTATTCATATTGTATGCAAATAAATTTATTCACCTATTATGCTAAACTATATTTTTTGCAAATACTGAAAGTAAAGTTTTTTTTTTTTAATTTTAAATGATAATCAGAATATTGATAACGTGTAAAGTACTTCAAGCAAAGTCAAACAGGATAACATTTGGATACACATGGTACATGAAGGAGACTACTTTCTAGAAATTTGTTTAAACAAGTATCAAAACTTTTGGTCGATATCAACGTATTTATACTGTTGACTTGTCTCTTCAAATATTGTCCGAGATAGTTGCATTTAACAAACAAAAATTCGAAACTGATACGACGTACAAACACGTCCATAAACTCACGTAGGACATGTACCGAATGTAAACGTATGTATCTGTTGAATTTTATTTGCCAATGGAGGTCTACTTTGGGTCACTAAAATCACAAATATTTTATTAATCTTTGTAATTGTCCTTATCGTACTGGACATTGTCCTGAACGTGTAGCCCCCCACCATTGCGCCCCACCCCTATACGCGCCGGCGCTAATCGCACTACGCCTTCTTGGATCAACTAAAACGTGGCCAGTAATAGGTAAACGTTTCGCGTGTTGGTGTCAGGAAGTGTGTTGTGACTCTGCACTGCTTCTGAAATTAATTTTTTTTTATTAATCCGTTGGTGATTGAATATTTTAACTAGTTTCTATGGAAGTATTATTTCCAGAAAAACTTTTCATTGACTTAGTGATTAGGACATCTACTTGCACGCAAGTCATACTTATCAAGAGGATGATAATGTAAGTTACTAAATTGATACTAATAATTGAAAAATTAAAATCGAACTAATACTCATTAATTTTTTAAAATTGTACATGTCTATATTTATGCATATTGTTATCCATCAACATTCCTCTGCAGATGATTGCGCGCACCACAGCAACGTTGGTTGGTAGACTAATGAAATAGCCACGATCCCATAATCAAAAGCTAACGTAGGAGACATTTCTACAGAAAGCATATGGTTTTCTTAATTTCCCCTGGCATGTTTTATTTTCATTATTCTCTATTTCCCCCGTATTTCTGAAGCACATATTTACAGTTGACTCAATTATAGAAATGTGGCGCAATTGAGTAGATGAATCGGTATGCTTGAAGCTAGAAGATGATTCAATTTGCCAAAAACGTACTTAATTCAACAGGCGCATGTGTCTATTGAGCAGGCTCGGCTTATGTAACGACATCGGCTATAATTTTTTGTTTCCATGTGGCACATTCGGCCCAGTTGGAAGGTAAAAACCTGAAATGCAAAATAAATATCCTTATGAATATTAACCATTGCCGTATAATTAACAAGTTTTCTCCACAGGCGCGTTCTTAATTTACATCTTTTTCTAAAAAAGCCAAGCTCTTGCAAACCCATATAACAAAATCAGTTGTACATACAGTAGACTTAAGCATGCTGAAAGTTTGTCTTTCAACTCTCTCCGATTTTAATATTTACGTCACAGTGAAAAAGATAAAACCAGATTTTTAATTAGTACCCAAAGGATTTAATTAAAAAATGACAATAATTTCTGAGCAATTACTTAAATCCCGACGGTTTTAAATTAAAACTTGGTTTTACCATTAACCATTATTTTTTGGCATATTGCATACCTACCTTACTACCTACATAAAATACTTGGGGCCACCTACTTTGTTACCTTATTTCAATTTTGATATGATTATGCATAATTTATAATGTAATGTTCAGTAGCACCCCCATTTTTGTTTCTACTTTGCAAAATTCCTGATCAACAAAAAAATTGGCGCACTAATGTAATAAGTCTGTTATTATTATTTTTTGTTATTAAGAAATTTTGCGAGGCAATTTATTAGAGCACTGACTGAAACAATTCAGCATAACTCTTGGTTTTTATATTTTTTTTCAAAAATGACGGGGCTAAGTTTCCTGACACCGAAGTTTAGTGCTACCACAGCAGCTGTTTAATTATTTTATTTATCTCTCTGGCGCAAATAGCTGCTATAAAACGTAGCATTTAAATAATGTAAGTAGGTACAATGTACATATCTATAAATCACTAGTCTTTACATTCAGATAAATAAGTACAGATGACAATTCTAAAAACAATCTGGAAACAGGACTTATTATATTACAGCAATTTATGAATTATGAACGGCATAGCAAAACTGCCTAGTAACATTCATACTTTGCCCGGTGGAATGAGTTGTTACGGTATCTTTTAATATTATTTGCTTATTTTGCAAAATACACATGTACTTACCTGCCATCTACTTAGTGTGTACCTTTTAATTATAAATTGCTTACCTTCTGATAGTTAAATCTAACTTCAAGGTAACTTCTCTTCGATAAATTTGAAATTGGACCTTCAAAATGTGAAGATGATTTTTAATTTCAATGATTAATTTACTTTAATTTAATTTACAATACTATCCTCATCGTCGGTTCATTTGTTAAATCAATACAATTAGGAACATTCAAATCGTTTGGATGATTCCAAGTGCAAGCGTTTTATTTCTTTCTTTCTTTCATAGCACATTAAATTTATTATCAGCATTAGCTATCTATAGGTTTCTTTCTACGAGTTTACTAATGTGATTAGTGATTACCTACATTTCTTTGCATAGATATTGTACCTATGTATCCGTATATTGATTGACATATAATACGCCTGTCTCATGATCCAATCTAACGTTGAAAGAGCGCGTCAATAAAATGTGAACTAATGTATACAGGAGCGGTAAAATTCTTACCTAACATAGAAGTTACACATTTCTTTGCAATGCATAAGTAAACGTGTGAAATATGTTTTTCTTTAAACCATATCTATCTGAAAATATCACCTATACTTCTCTGAAAACTGTTTAAGCTCTCAAAACTTTTCGAGCAAAGCGTAATAAGCCCTAAAGACTTTAAATTGCATTTATTGGACATACCTACATATATTACGTAATCATTGAAAAGTTGGTTGAAGGCATTTCTATGGATTTCCCTATACCACATCATATTTTTCAAAAGGTGATGCCACCCTTCGTTGATTGCATGTTATAATGGAATATCCCTTTGGTCGTTTCTCAATATATCACTAGTTGGTTACAATGTCTTGTTAAAGCAAAATCGGATTCCTTTTTTATTTACCCCAAATTAAATTACCTCTACTGAATAACAACATCTACTTGGTGTATAGGTACACAATAATTGCTAGAGTATGTACCTAGTCTAGTGCGCGTTGCCATTCAAATTTCTATGTTCAACACTTTAATACATGAGGCCAACGAGCTAATTCGTACAATCAAGTTATAATATGTATTACGGAACAAGCAATCAACCGTCTCCCTGCCTTCGTTCGCTTCTTCCCACTTCTTCTGTCTCAGCACCAGCAGCTGAATAAATTTATTATTCTTGTTACGTTGGCCACGTAGATGGCTCCTTACCCAACGAACAGGTTTCCAGACAAATTTAACATCTAGGTACGTTCACAATAATTTACCTGCTTAGACAATTAACATGCATATTGTTGCATCCTGGGGTTTATTACAATGATATTAATAATCTTGAAACGACAACAAGAATCGAAGATTAATAATAATGAGGTTGAATGCCAATAGAACGCGATTCACGCAGAAGATTCCGTGTCATGTAAAATTTATCTGTTGATTTTATTATTCTGCTTAGTTTATTTTTAACAATGTAATAAAAACAATATAATAATAAATATAAGAAACTTTAGAGAAGTAAGGTACAATATACATACAATGTAGAAATCTTCCCGAAGTGAGTTTGTTTTTTAATATGAAATATTCTCAATTTTTACCCACTACACACTACCTCAAATTAATAAGGAAAAATTGTTGCTGTTGTCACACCCCCGCCGGGAATCGAACCCGGGCTCTTTGGCTTTACGCGCCAATGCTCTGACCACTAAGCTACGAGAGATGACGGGTTCGATTCCCGGCGGGGGCGTGACAACAGTAACAATTTTTCCTCATTAATTTGAGGTAGTGTGTAGTGGGTAAAAATTGAGAATATTTCATATTATAAGGTACAATAGTAATAATGTACGACACGAAGCAGGAGTCATTTTGTTAGAAAATGAAGATGGATGGAAAAAATATTTAGAGAACGTATTAGTAGGTCAAGAGTTAGGAGAGCTATTGGACAAGGGACATAGTGTGGAGATAGGTGAGCTAGGATATCCCATAATGAGAGAAGAATTTGATTTACCATTAAAAAAAATAAAGAATAATAAGGCACCAGGTATACATGGGATACAGGCAGAAATCTTAAAACATGCAGGTCACTAGGTTAATGATATGGTAAACGAGAAGGAGGAAGTCCCGGCGGACTATAAACGGAACGTGGTTTTAGCCATACCAAGAATGGGAGGTGCAGATAGATGTCAGAAATTTAGAAGAATTAGCTTAACTTCCCAGGTGTCAAAAATATTAGGAAGGGAGTCAGACAGAGATGCTCTTTTTAATCTACATATCAAAGACGTGATAAACATCATCTTGACAAATTTAGAAATAGATATACAGAGACAGAAGATTAGTATACTTAGATTTGCAGATGATATAGCAGGATTAGCATCAGATGGTTGACAGATGGTTAGCATCAGACAGTTTTAAAACAAGAATTTTCACATACTGGTTTTGGTAGTTTTTTTTTTAACTGTTACAACTATTGAACCGGTGGTGGGCTAGCGGAGACAAGGACTGGGCTAACCTTAGTTAACCAAGTGACAGTGTAAAACCATTGAATGTTACAAATTTTTATTTTCAGGAGTTCTTAACTTGAAATATCCTTTTTTTTTGTTATAAATTTTGATCTAAGGGTGGGCTAATGAAAAAAATATTGGACTATCCTAGGCTAAACTTGGGTAAACGAACCATGTCAATTTCGTTAAAAAATTCGCATTTGAGAGTACCAACTTAACAGAGCTGTATTTATCTGCTTTATTTTATCAAGCATACAACAATTAGCAGCATGTTTCAGTAGAGATCCACGTTTGGTAGTTTCAATAAGTTATTGACTAAGAAAGATGAAGCATATAGCAATTGCTTCATTTGTCACTTCGTCTCATGCCTGGCTAGCAAGCTTGGTCCACGACGGGGGCAGCCAATGGCAATGCCANAATTTATTTGTGGGAAATTCGTGTTTTGATATTTATATTGTGTATATGAATAATCTCGGTATTTGGACCTTGGTTCAAGTTTGGTTATGTGTTGCCCAATGTTAGACACAATGTAACTTGGCAGAACATTAATGCATCGAACCTTGATGTTTAAAAATTGACCGAACAATGGTCCAGTACTTGCAAACATTACGAACCTTGGCACTAGACTGTATAGAAGATTGACTGAACATTGGTATAGTGTCGACAAGTCAATGTTTGGTTTCCTAGCACTACTGGATGGGTTAATGTTCTTTATTCCCTTTTGTAACTAAAATTTATAACCCGTTGGTTAAAAGATAAGATCAGTTGATATTTGTTTGGTTTTTTATTTATCTATCAAACATACATATGTATGCGATGGGTTTTTTTGTGAAATTGTCGTGCCTGGCAGCACATTTTAGAGTACGCCTACCTATTAAAAATGAGTATAATCTTATAGCGTAATAGTGGATTATGCGTTTGGCGCTTGTGTAACTGTTAATTTTACCCGTCCACTAATAAAAGTGACAATTACTGAAAGCGAGAGCGCCAATTGACATTTTTTTCGGCAAAGGCGTCTGTCGTAGGATTTAATGAGTTTGCTGTGCTGGCATATGCAA